ACCTAACGTTTGATTTCACAAACCGTTAGGATTTCTACCACTTGGTGTAATCCCAACACCAAGAATACAAATCCCTTACAATAAAGTAAGAAAACAAACCGCAACCGAGTAATTCTCCCAACACGGAGTAGATTGTTGCAAATACAATGAAGTCCTTTAGAATATGGCAATATCTCTCAAAGACTCAAGCAATGAGAAAAAACTCAAGCAAGAAATGATATAGCAATCAAAACAATTGCCTTGCTTGGATATAAGGAGGGGATTGAGTAGAACTCTTTGGATATTCAAAGGATATGTTTTTGAAGAATTTTCAATGTATATTCTTGGCCAAAAACACGAGATAGGGTAGTTTAAATAAGGATAGGACGGAGTAACTACCCAAAGATTTGAAAAAAATAGCCGTTTAAGAGTTGAAACTGCCGAACTATTCGACTAAGTCAAGACTTAGTCGACTAGTGTTGGTGAAACTGCAATCTGACTTATTCAACTAGTTCTGGATTTATTCAACTAAGTCAGAATGGAAGTTTAGGGATTTATTCGAATAGTTTTCAACTTATTCGAATAGTTTGCTGAAAAAAAATGTGTTTTAAAGGTAGGATGATAAGGGAATGAACTTTAGAGATGCCATACTCTTTAACACAAAATCTAAGACCTAAAACACTACCCAACTAAGGAAACAACCTCTTCGGTCTCGTTCCTTCCACTGATGCTCAAGTCCCTTCTTCACGGACAGATATGAACTTGTTGTAGCTTTGATTCTTAGCCTTGATGCACAAAATGATGATGATGTTTTGTCACCCTTTTGCCATTATCAAAACCTAAAAGACAATGGGCAAAAGACATTGCAAAAATACATATTCATGATAGCACATTGTCCAACAGTAGGTACTCAAGTTTGGTTCTTGGATCCTATACGTACGTTTTAACCCTGGACACCGGGCATCATATCCGCAAGGCCTATCTTAAATGGGTATTTTTTAGACTTCTTGTAGATACCCTTCAAAATCAACATCACTATGGTATATCTTAGAGTTATTCTAGATACCATTGGAATAAATATCAATTAACTAAAAATGGTTATTTAGGTACATCTTAGAGTTATTCTAGATACCATTCAATTCATAATTAATATGGGTATATCTTAGAGTTATTCTAGATACCCCTGACAATGCACATTATTTTCATAATCAATATATTCATTTTTAAACATGATTCAATCATTCACAATAATCATTTTAATCAGTGGGTTCATCAATCATAATCATCCATAACAATCATTCATCATAATCATCAATCAACATAACATTCAAAGCAATATCACACTATAGTCTCTCGGTGCTGATTTCAGTAGTCTTTCGAGCAGCTGTCTGATATATTTATAGACTATTGTTTAAAAGCAGATGTCGTACAGTTGTGTAAAATGGTTGACGACATCTGTTTTGTAATGTTTTAGAGTACCACTTTTTAGTGTTGTCCCCGTATGAGTAAGACATCTGTTTTTTCGAGTTAAAGAGAACTGTGATTTTTTGTTGTCTATCTATAATGAATGCTACTGTTGTTTTTACCTTCAGACTCCTAATTCTCGGTGTTGTCGTTCAACAATATACACATCTACTTTAAAAAGTAATTGAAAGATATATCAGACTGCTGCTCGGAAGACTACTAAACAAAAATAGGATCAGACAACTGTTATCTTTTGTTGTATTTCTAGAATATGAACTACTAATTTTACTGTATTTTAAACAACCGTTTCTTTCAGTTGTATAGTGCTCAATAACACTGCGCTTTTTTGTAGTTGTCCTTGAAATATTCAAACTATCATTTTACAGACTAGTCAGAACATAAATCAGACTACTGCACCGAAGACAACTAAGTATGTTTGCATAAAACAACTGCTATTATGTGTTGTATTTTTAAAATGTAAACAACCTTATTTGTTGCATTTCATACAACTTTTTGTTTAAATTGTCTAACGTTTATTAACAATACAGGTTTGTGTAGTCGTTCTTTAAAGATTTAGAAAACTGTTTAAATACATTGTAAAGCTTTTTGAAAGACTACTATATTTCAATCTACAATTATATTTAATAATTAAAATTTATTTCAATTCTAAATATTGATCATGAAAACAAAATAATTTCCAAAATGTACAATATATTGAATAATATCTAAATACATACAATCCAAAATCTTAATAGCATCCAATAATTTAATATTTACATAATTAAAATCACATTCTAATTGTCAATTGAGCATGCCTAATTTAGTTATTTGTCCCCTCAATAACATCCAGCATTGAATCAGGGGAAGACAGACCTTCAATTCTTGGCGCCGTTGTGACCATGATAATCTGCAAGCGAAATATATACAGACCTATATTGAGTTGAATCACCAAAAGATTAACCTAACCGAGGAAAGAAAAGAAAAAACTCACATGGAACCCCCAGCTGCTACTCTGCTAGTCCAATTGTTTTGAAAAGAGACATTGCAGACATTGAAAGGCAATGAAATTGACTTGCAGAAGCAATTAGAGTACATTGCAGACATTTGACTAATACCTCTTTTGATTTAATGCAATTAAAAGTCTATGCCCCTTCCGCATAAAAAGGCATTGCACTATAGAAAATCTCATTTTGATGAAATTGACTTCTAGAAGCAATTAGAGTAAATGTGTGTAATCAAATGTTCCTGGTCCATGCTAAGCGATACATGTATTATATATATGTGAATCAAATGTATAAGGAGAGACTCACATTTGAGTTGCTATCAACTTTGATATCTGTGGTAATCTTCTTGCTCTTAAGCTTAATATTAAGATCAGCGACAAATCGATCTTCTTTCTTTGACCCTGATGAGGTTATGGCCTGTAAATTTACAATAGAAGATATTACCTATGAGTATGCTAAAACACACACATGACCTTAAAATCTCAAAATGCACACAGACACACAAATCAAAGATTGCTAGAAATCTAAAACAACCAAGAACATTAAAATAGCTCCAACAATTATCCTAAATAGTTCATAAATTAGACCTTAATATAATCTAATGAGTCAAACAATCTCATTAAGCATGCTGTGCTGCAGCAGACATCTATTCACAATCAAAGCTAAGACAAAATAGATGCAGAATTTGTAGCTTTTCATAAATCCACAACTGTTGGGCTTTAATGAGAAAAGCCTAGCGACATTTACATTTACTTAACAGATCCGATTGAAACTAGAAGGAAACTCACAACTCCAGTTGGCGATTGGGTAGTGAAAAGAGACATTGCAGACATAGCAGATTTCGCCGGAGTCGCTGCCCAGACGCCGTCGGCAGCCTGCCTCCTAGACACCTTCGCTGCTATTTTTGCCGGAGCAGAGGAGGCTCGCTGGACTACCCGCTGTTTCTCCGGAAAAGATGGAGGCCACAACCCCCTTCTCGCTGGACTACCCTCGTCGCCGGTGGAGATCATCACCACCACCCCTGTGTCTGATCGGAAATTCTCCGCCAAAGATGGAGGTCGCCCGCTGCTGACCATTCGTAGCCGTCGACTGCCCTCGCGACATCGCCCTTCCCCGTCGCTGCTGGACTTCACCGGAACAAAGGGAGTCGCCGGAGCCTGCTGCCCTCATCCAGGTCGTTGCCTCTGTCCGTGTTGCTTGCGTCATCGTTGGACACAGATGCAATGGGGGGTCGTCGGCGATGTCGTGGTGGCGGGGGGCGGTGATCGGAGTTCGTCAGAGAAGGCTAGGTCTAGTGGCGGCGTGTCTCAATCGGGGAAGAAGGAGGCCCGCGTGAAAAGAGTATATATATGCCGTTTTGCTCTCTGTAATTTAAAATAAGGTGTCTGAGTAAAACACACTTTTCGAGCCAACTTGCTCCGAATTGAGATCCGTTTGCACCGTTGGATTCGAGTCTTCGATCCCTACCCAATAGTATAATTTTTCTAATTATTCAACAAGAATTTATAGGTTCCACCTGGTCCATCTTAATTTTCTCGATTAGTTAGTACCGATCAGTCTTTTACGACAAAATTCATAAACTTTGACCACTAAAATAAAATTGACTTTAGATATTGTTACAAAATAAATTTATATTTATTTTATAAAATACTTTCAAAATATTATTATTTCTAAAAGATTATTATATTTCAAAAAAACACAGACAAATAAGATTATATCAAATCAGATCATTGCATCTCAGTTTCACATGTTTATATGTTGTTTAGATGATATCTAATCAAACCATATCTCATCAAATAAGATTAAATCAAATCGAATTAATTTTTTTTAATATAACTACAATTAGATCAAGCAGATTAAATCTATTCCAATTAGATCTTAATTAGATAAGATAAGATAGGATAAGATAAAAGCAAGTCCAATCAGGTCTGATTGCTTGTATATTTCATGCGACCCATTGCATCTCAGTTTATCATGTTTATATGTTGTTTAGATTATATCTAATCAAATTAGATTAAACTAGATCAAATTAGAAAGATATTTTAAATATAACTAGAATTAGATCTAGCAGATTAGATCTAATAAGATAAGATAAGATAAGATCAAATCAAATTCAATCACATCTTATTGCTTGCATATTTCACGTGAGCCACTACATCTCAATATAACATGTTTATATGTTGTTTAGATGATATCTAATGAAATCAGATCTCATCATATCATATTAGACTAGATCAAATTAAAAGAGTTTTTAATATAACTAATCGGACTAATTAGATCAAATCGGACAAAAACAGATCTAATCGGAATAAATCAAAGTCAAATACATTAAGATCAGATCTAATTTTCAAAAATATCGAATCAAATCAAATTCAAATCTAGTAAGATCAGATCAAATATTAAAAAAAATCAATTTAATTGTATAGGTCGTGTCATATTTGTCTGATCTAATCCTCAAATGCATCATATCGGATCTAATTTTGAATTAGAAAAATAGATCTAATCAATAGATAAAATTCAAATCCAATAAGATCAAATCTTATCTTTAAAAAAACAATTTACTTGTGTTGGTTGTGTCTTACTTTTTGATATAAACTTTAAATGCATCAGTTCGGATCTAATTAGATTGAATCAAACCAAAACAGATCTAATCGGATCAAATCAAATTCAAATCCAATAAGATAAGATCTAATCTTCAAAAAAATCAATTTACTTGTCAAGGTTGTGTCTTATTTGCCAGATATAATCTTTAAATACATGAATACAATCATATTCATATCCAATAAGATCAGATATAATTTTCAAAAAAAATATTGAATCGAATCAAATTCAAATCTAGTAAGATCAGATCAAATATTAAAAAAATCAATTTTAATTGTATAGGTCGTGTCAATATATTTGCCTGATCTAATCCTTAAATGCATCATATCAGATCTAATTAGATTGAATCAAACCAAAATAGATTAGATCAGATCAAATCAAATTCAAATATATTAAGATCATATCAAATCTTCAAAATAAAACAATTTAATTATATAGGCCGTGTCTTATTTGCCCGATTTAATCTATAAATGCATAAGATCAGAATAAATTAGATTGAATTCAAATTAAATTCAAATCCAAAAAGATCAGATATAATCCTCAAAAAAAATATCTGAACAAGGTAATTGCGCAAATCCAATTCTTCTAAATACTCATATTTTTGATCGTATAAGATCTTACAAGTATTGATAACTGAACTTGTTACTCACATTGATCCAATTCCTTAGGATATTCATACTTTTGACCATATAAGAAGGTACCTGTACTGATAACTAAACTGGTTACTTGCACAGATCCAATTCTTCTAAATACTCATATTTTTGGCCATATAAGATCTTACCGGTACTTATAATAACAAGGTAATTGCGCAGATCCAATTCTTCTAAATACGTATACTTTTGAGCTAATAAGATTTTAGAAGTAGTGATAACTGAACTTGTTACTCACACCTATCCAATTTCTTAGGATATTCATACTTTTGACCGTATAAGATCTTACCGGTATTGATAACTAAACTGGTTACTTGCACAGATCCAATTCTTCTAAATACTCATATTTTTGGTCATATAAGATCTTATTTTAGATCTCTCCAAACAACTTTTTTTAACATTTCAAAACTCATACTTTCTCCGTCCCAAAAAGAATTTCTTACTTTGATTGACATGTAAAACCCCGTGGTTTTTAAAATCATATTTTTTGCAAATTGGTAAAAAAATAACACATAAAAATTATATTTAAAAACTACATCGAAAACTCTACAAAATAAGAGGTGACAAGAGTATTTTATTTTATCAAATGATCAACAACCTTACATATAATTTCACTCAGATCAAATCAAATCAGACTAGATCTTAACATATTAGATAAGACAAGATTAGATCAAAATGGGAAGTTTTCCCTCTTCCCAATTTCATTCTCCCTCTTTTCCCAATTTCATTCTCTCTCTTCCCAATTATCACCAAATTCATTTTCCCTCTTCCCAATTTCATTCTCCCTCTTCCCAATTATCACCAAATTCATTTTCCCTCTTCCCAATTTCATTCTCACTCTTCCCAATTTCATTCTCCAGCTTCCTAATTTCGTTTTTCCGTTCAAAGAACACCACTCACTCAATAGCCCAACCTTATCCAACCTTAATCGCCATCGCGCCTGTGTTGTTCGAGAGCAAAGGATTCGCCGAGAGCCTTCGCCGTCAGTCCCAGCCATCGCCAATTTGCCGAGAGCCTTCGCCGTCAGTCCCACTGCCCTGCGCCGACTGCCCAGTCGCCAACTCATAGCCTTCACCGTCAGTCCCACGCCATGGAAGGTACTGTTCACTCAAAGTTTTATCTCTCCGATTCTATTGAATCCGGACACTTTTTATGGCTAATCTTGTGATATGTTGAGCGGTTTGCGATACCCCTCCTTCTTTTAAAGCTTGATTTCAATTTCATTTGAATTCCCTCATGATTTGAGGATTTTTGGGATTCGTATGTACTGGATTTGGACTGCGATTCTCTCAATTTTTGCTTGCTTTTTTTATTAACTTTGTTGTTGCGCTGGGTTTGAGAGGTTGTGTTTATGGTGTTTTAACAACATTTATTTGAGGGATTGAAATTTGTGGAATGACCTGTTGTTCTTGTCGATTATGAACTGTGTTCTTGCCTTCGTACTGGTGTTCTTGCTCTATGAACTCAGTTACTGCCTGGGTGAGGCCTTGCAGCTGTGTTCTTGAAGGAAACCAATGTGTTGATGTTCATGGTCAGGAATACTGCACTGTAAATGCTCATGTCTTCCCAGGTCATCTGTTCTATGCTTATTGACGGCTTTGGCCAAGGTTTTGGAGTTGGACAGTGGCTTTCTGGTGGATGGACTGATTGAAGCGTTGACAATTGTGGTCTGTTTGGAAATTGATGGGGGGAGGGAAATAGTAACCTTGTGGTACACCATTTCATTTTGTTCATTGCCAAACAAAATAGAACAGGTTATCTCGACAACTACAAAATGGAATGGATATTGCTGGAGTTTTCCCCCCGAGGTTTTTGGAACCTTTCTTATGTCCTCTCTTCACTGCCTCACCTTTATGATTTTTTTTACAGACTATAGAGGGGGCATTGTGAGTTACTGTCAAGTTGAAAGCTTTACCAGTGTACTTGTCCACAAATGTTTTTGTTACATGTGCTGCAGATTCTTCCATTAAGCATAGTACGCTCAAGGATGTGGCTTGTGGTAGTCTAAACAGAATATGAGAATAACTTCGAAAGGCACGGTTATCAACAATCCTCTTTGGGAAATAGGTACTTTGATAGCTCGTGTTTCAGTCAATCCCTCGTAGAAAAAAGAATCCCTTGCCCCTTTTATAGTTTCTGCATCCTTGGCTAAGCAAGAATCTTTAGTCCATGTATTAGTTCACAGCCTATCTATTATCTAGAATCTAAAGTGCTTAGTAGAGAATCAGGACATGATAAGTAACAAAATGTTATTCTTGATCCACATGAGGTTAAAACAGTATGTACAAATGATGCTCATGAGGTTACTTTTGCAGCATCTTTTTGTTTTTAAGTATAATGACTCGGTTGTGGCTAATAGTGCAGGTATACTATTCTGTTAGCAAATGAGAGTTTGGTTGTGAAAGTTATTGCTCCAACTAAAGCAATCTTTGATGCTAAATCATTATTCAGAAAAGATTTTCCTAATACTTTTGTAACTACCTGAAAAACTATCTTAGAAGTAAATGGTACTATAGTAAGCCATTTTATTGATAAAGAGCATTTTTATTAATCTTCAATTGAGATGATGAGGATTTTTAATAAGTCACTCTTTAGGCAGCATGACGTTGAGATGCTTTGTTAGCATAATAACATTGTTATACTATTTGAGCTACTTTTCTTATCCTATTAGCTCAATGGTAGAGTGCCGTGTGCAAAAGTGCACGGAGATGTGGGTTCGAGTCCCACATAGGCTTTTTATGAATTTAAAATATTAAAAAATGTTTGTATTTTTGTATGTGTGATATTTTAATAGTCTAACTATTGTTTAAGAAGGGTATTCTTAATTTATTATAGACAACTTGTAATAGATTACGGTTTCTATGAATTTCAAAAACACTTCTACGCTATATAAATACACTACTATTACAAGGGTGTCCTCTATTCTTATAATAAACAATTCTGCAAAAAAACCATATGAAACATACAACTAACAATAGATTACTATTTCTTATAAGTTTAAAAACAGTTATACACTGGGAAACCAGACTTCTGTTAAGAAATAGTAGTCTTAACTAATTATTGACAACTGTGGCAATAAAAACTGTATTTTTTGATGAAACCGA